TTTGGATACACCATATAAAGTTCATACCATGTTTTCATCAACTGTAAATATTTTTAAGATGTCAAGTCTTAAGAAGGCCTATATATCATCGCGTTTCTGAATAAACGTCTGTCTGTATGTTTCGTCCTTGTAGGACCTGATCCTCTAGACTTGAAGGTTCAAAATAGCCATGAGAAACATGGTAGACCAGTTTGATTGATCAGGGTGTCTGCCCCGGGCTGGCCATTAAATGTGTCCTAACCCAGAGAACCATTGTACACTGTGAAGGAGTATTGTGAAGTTCCTGTCTGTATTAGGACTATGAAAACATTATGAAAATATTTATGAGGGCTGTGCTCCAATTAGGTCAACAAACATTAAGGTCAAGGTGACCTCATGGTAGTGGGGGTCCGATTAATTGAAATAATCGAAGATTGGTTGCAATGACAAAATGACCTAGCAATTGATCATGTTTTCTCATAATCAACACAAACAATTTTGGAACACTTGTTTGCAATAACAATATTTTTCACAAGGTTGGTTTTGTCTGTTACCATGGTTACATTTCATTAGCACTACAAGCTCTTCCAATTCATGATTGAATTTATTTTAAAGGCTCCATGAAGTTCATGTTCCTAACATACTAGTCATCCTTTAAAGATGTGAAATTTGCAAATGCATTTTGTGCAATTTGCAAAAAAACGAGAACTACATGTTTTTTCTTTTATTTTGTGTGCATTAACAAACATAACCAGGAAAATTTGATAAATGACGCTAACCAATTATTTTCGATGATTGATTGGTTGTAATGAACCAATCATCAATTATGAGATTTAAGCCAATTCCCAACACTGCCCCATGGAGAAGAAGTGGTTCCCAGTCTAAGTTGACGACACAATTTGTGGTGTTGTGTCCCTTAGACATGAAACTATGATTCAGGTTTCGATCCCAAATTCACCATCATTCTGGGTTTGTCTGTACCGTAACCTTGTTAATTGGTTTCACCATAGTGATAAATAGCCACAACCTGATTTACTTGAGCTTTATTCTAGTAGGGTAGGAGCGGTGATGTAGCCTAGTGGTTAAAGCATTCGCTCGTCACGCCGAAGACCTGGGTTCGATTCTGTACATGGGTACAATGTGTGAAGCCCATTTCTGGTGTCTCCCGCCGTGATATTGCTGGAATATTGCTAAAAGCGGCGTAAAACCATACTCACTCAGTCTATAGTCTGTTTGCAGTGAAAACGTACCGATGAATTTCACTTTAAACAAAGAAGTAAACCAAATTAAGTGAAATTAAGATTGCGAATCCTCATAATTTTACCTTGCCAAATGAACATTTAAATCTCAGATTTTTATTCAACTTAGGATAAAAGTTGTTTAACAAACGATCATAGATTCAAATCGATATTATTTGTTTGTATTACAAGGGGCTAAGCGCAGTAGATGGAACAGTGAAACAAATGCACGTGCTGTACGTGATAAGCGTTAGCTTAGACCAGCCCTACTTGTTCTCGGTGTTTCATCTAATGTGCATACCCCCTTGTAATACAAACTAATAATAGCGATTTGAAACTATGATCGTTTGTTAAACAACCTTTATCCTAAGTTGAATAAAATTCTGAGATTTAAATGTTCATTTGGCAAGGTAAAATTATGAGGATTCGCAATCTTAATTTCGCTTTAATCAATTTACTTTTTTGTTTAGAGTGAAATTCATCGGTACGTTTTCACTGCAAACAGACTATAGTGAAAACAAAACGGCAATACAATATTGTATTGCATCATGAGGCTTACAAGACAATACATCAAATTACAACCCTTGTATCGCAGTGCATATGATACATTACAAGTTATGTTGATGTGAAAATGTGAATCCAAACAAACACTGCACAACAACCAATTGGCCTCAGACCCCAAATATTTTCCTTCTTTGCTACCTACAGTGACATGCCAGTCCACCATAATTAATATTGGTCGTAGGCTGTTCTCTTGTTGCATGCTGACCAACCTGCCACTTGTCACTTAACCAGCAAAATATCGGCCTGGATCGACCATGTCAATTTGGCTGTATCCACTGTAAACAATGGTCACCGGAAGTTTCAGAGCCGAAACACACTAAACAGCCTTGAACTTGGGGTCAAATCATGGAAGGCTGGTGTCATTTTGTCAATACCATGTATAGATTGTAAACCAAAAAAATTTGCAGTATAGTACAATCTCTTACCTTCAATTAAGCTATCACAAGTCACCCTAAAAATTAGCACACACAGAACAGCCCATTTAAACAAGGCACTATATTCTCCTATTTTCCTTCCGGGTCATGGTAAAAGTTAAGGGGAGGTAACTGTGGTCTGAGGCCAACTTATGCAAATTCTCTAGTATTTCCCCAGTGGGCTATAAATAGCACAACACTGACAGTGTCCCCAAGCCTAATGTTTATCCACTACAATATTCCATCTTTTCTCCCTGACAGTTAGAAACAAATGATTCAGAGACAAAAAGGAAAACTATCAACTTATGAAATAATAGTACTGTATTGGGAAACAAACCGAACCTCATCCATAATATCAAGATAGGTATTGTATCGTGGCCCCACCATGTTTACTCAGACTTAATGAGCATTTTCAGCTCGTCACCATGACTCGACAGTTTGGAGTTCTACTTATGCCTTTAGAAAGTGGTATGTTTGGTGCGAAAATATTTACTAGGGCTGGGACGGGTCCAAATTTTCTACCCGGGTACGCCATCTCCTATTCCCCTACCCTACCCGGATACCCGTTATGTTAATTCCTGACATCAAATTTGTAAGAAATGGCAAAATATTCTTCAACTCAGGGGCTAAAATTTCAAGTTTTTCAATATCTTAATCATGTGTTATATTCAAAACAGGTAACTGTAAATAATTTTTAATCTTGAAAGACAATACAGTCTTTTAATCATGAAAGAATAACATATTACATTGTTTAATCTATTAGTCACATGATCATAACGGGTCCGGGTATTGAGACGGGTACCCGGGTCTAGCTCATTACCCACCCGTCCCGGGTATCCGGGTTACCCGTCCTCGCCCTAATATCTACATACAGACTGTCATGAGGTAGGTGGAATCTTGCTGAACAAAACAACACACTCATCTATTCTAATATCATCTATGTATATTTCTTTTATTTAAAAGAATAAATTTCATTTCAAAATACTTCTTAGGTATATCGAAGATAGTTTAAGTGGGACAATTTATTTTCAGAAAGAACTGGCATATTGCAAAAATTAAAAACAAATTAAGGCAGTGACTGATAGAATAGTCTGTCTCACAGTCCTTGAACCACAATATTTTCTCAAATACCTAGCACTCCCTGCAATGCCAAACCCCTAAATGAAGCAAGTCTAGATTCCCCTCCAAACTGACTGGGGCTCCTTTTCAATTTAAATGGGTATATTTGTTACAATCAAAATTATATATATTCACAGAGTAAGCATTAGTCCACTGACAGAACTGTGTAAATACATTTTCAGATTGTATATTTATGTCTTAAAAGTTATATAGAGATAGAATTGGAATCCATTCTTGTCGCAAGAGATGACTAATAGGATCGGGCGGTACATGTCATCGTATCCCAATTATGTAGATCGATGCTCATGCTGTTGATCACTAGATCTGTTGGACCAGATTTGGTTATATACAGACCGCTGCCATATAGCTGGAATGTTGCTGAGTACAACAGTTAACAGCAAAAAAACAAAATGAAGTATCAGTTCTGAAAAAATTGTTTTTCTGCTATTTAAATATGAGCATGTCTAAGGCCCAAGCTGATTGTCATAACAGTACACCATATGCTACATACCGCCTCCGTGGTGTAGTGGTTAGAGCGTCCGCCTGGAGAGCGGAAGGTCACGGTTTCGATCTCCGACCGCGTCATACCAAAAAGACGTTAAAATATGGTACTTGTTTTGGTCTCTACCTGGCGCTCGGCATTAATGGGTACAACAAGGACTGGTCGGCTCAAAACAATCTTATTATTATTACCCCAGATAAACCAAGCTGCTTGTTAGGCGCTAGAGGGTTATAGTCACATAATTTTTTCCCACTGGGTACCCATTTTCTGCTGGATGAACAAATGTGATCGCAATTTAATGTCGCCAACCTATTTTGAAATACTGTCACATGCTGCTGTATGCTGCCATTTCAACAGCATCCAGTGAACAGATAGATAATCTGTATTCTATAGGTATTCCAGAATGTTTGAATAAATAACAATTAAAATGTTCCCATAAATCTGGAATATAAATCCTTTTTTTCATGTAACCCTGATACTGTGAAATCGATAAGACAACCTTTTGTTGCATGGCTTGTTGCATGTGCAAAGATTTCACATGAAAATGTGACGCCTCCGTGGTGTAGTGGTTAGAGCGTCCGCCCGGAGAGCGGAAGGTCGCGGGTTAGATCCCCGACCGCGCCATACCAAGACGTTAAAACATGGTACTTGTTGGTCCCTGCCTGGCGCTCGGCATTAGGACTGGTCGGCTCGGAGTCAGTATAATGTGTCTGAGTATTCATGCTTCACTGCGGCATGGTATCTCAGTGAGCTAGCACTATAAAACCAGCTTCAGTCTGGGCTAGTACAAGCAGCCGCACACACACATACACACACATGCATGTCGTCATATGAGCAAAATATTCTCAAGCACACGACGTTAAACCCAATTTCACCTCACCTCACCTCATGTGCTTCAATATTCATCTTAAGTCACAGTGGTCTTAACTGGCACATATTCATCTTAAGCTCACTGACTTGGTTGACACATGTCATCGTATCTCAATTGAATAGATCAATGTTCATACTGTTGATCACTGGATTATCTGTTCCAGGTTATTTACAGACCGCCCCCATACAGCTGGAATATTGTCAACCAACAAACATACCCTGTCAGCTATTAAGATATTAAATATTAAGACCAGCGTAATTGTATTTCAAATTTTTACAACAGGTTGTGTTAACAAAGAACTTCTTATTTTGCAGAATGAATCGTCTTACATGTACAGAGAGCCGCCATGCATATCCTGAAGCATATCCGCTACAGCAGCTGTTTGATGTTTTGAGGTGAGGAGGATGCTTTGTGTCTGGCAGAGGCAATTACCTATATATACTTTACGGATGACAGCTCACGGAATGAATGGATTTCATCATAGACAAGTCAGGCTATATCATCATAGGAATAAAGACTCTTTGTTTCCAGAAAAATCTTTTACTTCTGAACATA